AATAAATAAACGTTGAAAAAAAAATTAAAAAAAAAAAATGAAATGCTCTTGTGAAATTGCAATAAAGCAAGGAATATCCTTTACCAACTGACTTTCATCAGTAAATGCTGACTGCACAGAGCCCTCTGCTCCCTCCCCAGCTCCCTGCACTGAGGAGAAGGTCCAGAGGAGCAGGCTCAAGGGAGGAGCCAAGGGGAGAAAGCCAGCCCTGCCCTCATAGCTGAACAGAGACTCACCTATGGTGTCCATGAGGCCCCGGACCTCTCTGGCTTCAATGATGCTCTCACTTTCTTCAGCTTTTTTCTTCTTGATTATTTCCTTTTCCCTGAGGTACAAGTAGAGGAAACAATAACTCCCAGCCCCCTCCCCTACCCCAGGGCAGCTCTGGCACAGAAGGGAGTCTTCAGAGAGACCTCACATATTGGTGATAAGGCCCACCCCATTCCAGAGAGCCCCGAGGCTATGCCAGACTCCCAACAGACGCTGCCTGGGTATCTGCTGCCAGTAGGCACCATGGTCCCTAGACAAGAAATCAGGGTCTGCTTCTGTTCTGGCTGCAAACCAAGTGTGGGTAGTAGGCAACAGCCATTTCCACATGGGGAAACTGAGGACAGTAGGGCATGATCAGCCTGGGAAAGCCAGGCCAGTGCTGAGTATTCAGGATTTGCTCCTTCAGCAACTCATCATCCTATGAGGCAGTCACAATAACCCCCTTGACAGGGATGAGGGGAGGGCGCTTAGAGAAGTGATTATACAAAGCAGAGCTGAGACTCCCTGACCCACGTGTGTCATGCCAAGGTCCATGGTCCTTGGGGTTTAGGTGTGGGAGGAGAAAGCTGAGACCCCAAAACAAGCTATCTCAGCAGGGAGGACCAGGGTGAGTGAGAATGACCTTAGCTTTGGAATAAAAATCTCTGAACGCACTGTCCATAGGACAAGCACCACAGAAATGCAACAGGTCTCAATGACACCTGCCATTCCTCCAGGCCTCCACATGTGCAGCGCTTTCTAGTCATTTCTCATCCAATCCTCGCTGCACACCTACCAGCAAGGAAGACTGCAGGGCCTAGACTGACCCTCCAGAGGTGGGTCTTTCAGTCTTGTCAATCAGGTGCCCGTGGACTAAGGTGGTTCTTTGGGAACCTGGGTGCTCTGACTACTGAGCTAATGGCTCTGGCTCCTCAGGCACTTGACCCGAGGACTTGGGTCTACACTAGTGCTGATCTATCCCTACCTTGGGCTCCTCTTCTGCTCACCCGGAGGCCCTGCCCTGGGTGAATGAATACACAGGTTCACTGGCTTTGGCTGGCTGAACTTTCAAGAAGGGAACAAGGGACTTCAGAGAGACGCCAATGCTGAGTTAGTGACCCCAGTCATTTTGAGGGTGGCAGAGCCTGGCAGGTTACAAACACATCTTTCTCCCTGTCACAGGCCAGAGGAAGTTGTCGTCTAGGTCTACGTCCAGGGCAGAGCTGACTTTGTCTCGGGAAGCCAGCACAGCACAATGCCAGCACCCTCTATGGAAAATGCCTTTCCTAAAATGCTGTCCTGTGGATGCTAAGAGCTCCTGATGGATGCTATATCTAGTTATTGGGATAATGGGTGACCTTAGGCTAAACTCTGGGGAAGGGGGGACCCTTAGGAGCGATAGGTAACTCGCAAGTCAGCTGAGAGGGGACTTAGACCCTTATAGGAGCCAAAGTCACAGCCAGGGGCAGCATCAACAGGCCCCAGACGTCTGTGCTTCAATCCCCACACTGGGCATCAGGCACATGGGCTAGAGAACACTGACCTCCAGTCTGGGCTTGGTGGCCAGTGGGTTTGCCCATCTGTAGGTAGTTAAGGGTGCTGAGGGTCAGAAGCCTCAGGGGAGATTTCTCTGGGAAGAGTCAAAGGTCAGGTCATCTCTGCCCCAAAGCAGGTGAAAGAGAAAACAAAGACAGGTAGAGAGAGACGGACTTCCCCTGCCGAGTCCCAGAGGGGACTGCGGCTTGCTCAGAGCTTGAAGAGCAAAGGGAAGATCAGCTCCAGGCGCCCCAAGCTCCCCGGTGAGGAAGATATTGCCCTCCTTTTCCTTTTCTTTCCTTTCGCCCTGCTTGAGGAGTCTGAGCTCAGGGAGTTGAAATGGCATACTCAGGAATCTCAAATTTCAGTCCTGATCTCCCTGCTCCTAGACCATATGCGCGCATCTCAGGGAATGGCGCCTGCTCTGTCCACCCAAGCACTCGTGCTACAGACCTCGGGCTCTCGGCCTCCCCTCCCTCCAGTCCACCACCTAGTCTGAGGGGTTCTGCCTCTAAAATACACCGGAAATATCCTACTCTCCCTCTTGTAGCCCCACCAGGCTTAGAGGGACAGCAGCAGCCTCCTCCCTGGCCTCCCGGCCTCTTCTTGCCACTCCCTACATTCTGCACACAACAGCCGAAAGGCCTTAAAAAGGCAAATCAGCTGCTCACTTCAGTAGTCCAAAATCCCGACTGTGGTCTTGCAAGCCTATCCCAGCCTCATCTACCGCCCCTCCCCTCCAGGCCCACTAACTTCTTCACCTTCCAGAGCGGACCAAACCCTCCCTGCCTCCGCGCCTTGCCCCATGCAGCTATTCCCTCGTCCTCTGGTCTCCGCTGAGGCCCCTCCTCAGGGGCTTTCCTGACCCCTGTGCTACCACTGTCCTCTGGGTCAGAGCCTTCCCACCTTTAGGGGCACTTGCCTATTTATTTATTATCAAGGCCTCAAGTGCCCGGAGAGTGGGATCCCCAGACCCAGTACCTGGTCCTAGGCACTCAATCAATAATTACTGAGAGGGGAGGAAGAGGAAGAGAGGGAGAAGCAAACAGTGGAGCAAAGTAGGTGCTATTACCTCTCTCTCTCAGAGGAGATACTGGGACTTCATTCCTAAATGGCACTCATCTTGTGTGAGGGCTTTCTGAGTCTCTGAAGACTCTGGCACAC